GCATCGAGCGATGCATCTAGATAACCCGATGCTCCAGCAGTTGCATCTAGCTAAATGAGTAAAAAAAATCGGCCGATGCACCAGCAAAGGCATCTAGATATTTCTGCTAGAGAGGTTTTGCTTGGGTGGATTTGCCTTGAAACGCAGAATAAAAGTATGAATCGCTCTTTTTGAAATTCTTTTTCATTGTTGAGAAAATTAATTTTTTTATATAAAACAAGTTATTCAATTTGTCCGATTTGAACAAAGACAGTGGTTAACGAGAAAATTTATTATTATTATAAACATGAACTATGCTGACCTACCGATTTGCTGTGATGCTAGCAAGTATTTCGGATGTTAGACTATCCAGTTACATTTTTTAAGGCTGTCTTACATATCATTTTGTGGCCCGAAAATTTCTCTTTCGAATGATATATAAAGTAGAGTTGCCGAAAAGGAATTAAATGGATTATACAAACATGAATGAGGGTGACCGACCGGTTTGCTGAGATAGTACCGAGTATTTCGGAGTTTACACCACCCAGTTACATTTTTTTGTAGATATCTGTTATGTCATGTTGTGACTTATGAAATTCTCTATCGAACGATGTACAATAGTTGATATTTGCTGTGGGCGAAAGAGGTGAAATGATGAAAATAGTCTGGGTAAAGGTCATTTAACGAGGGAAGAGTTTGTTTTCCTAAAATGTTTTCAGGCGCGCTCAAAAGGAATTTTAAGGTTTAAAAATACTTTAAGATTAATCGCGAACAAAAACTGCATCGGATGAATTAACATAAGACTAATTTGAGGAGTGGTCGATTTTGGCTCTTACCGTGCCCCGTCCTTTCGTCCATTGGTGGAGCAATGGTACTGAAAGAGTTAAATGTCTTTAAACCTGTTTTAGATAAAAACAGAATCGTTTTAAATGTGGCTTTACGTCAGAAATTTTTACATTGTTTTTCTGAGCATGTATCGGCATGGTTATTTTCTCAGCGGGAAATCTGCATCGGAAAATTGTGTTCAAACCAAGGGGGAAAAAGCGGACTCCTGGACTCCCATGGACTCCTATGAACTCCTATGGACTCCTGGACTCCTGAAGTCCAGGAGTCCAAGAGCAAAGTGTCCTTTTTTGGGAATCACTTCCCAAAAAAAGAACAAAAGTGTCCAATTTTTGGGAAGTGATTCCCAAAAAAGAACGCTCTGCTCTTGGACTCCTAGACTTCAGGAGTCCATGGGAGTCCAGGAGTCCGCTTTTCCCACCTTGGAAATCTTTCTAGAAACCAGAATATTTTCTGATTATTTTTTCAACATTTATTGAGCTTTACGGTATGCTCCACATAAAATCAAGGCTAGTTTTCCAAAGATCCTCTAGAAAACCGGCTTCGAAAATTTTTCCGAAGATCGGTTTTTATGGAAAGATAATCTCAAGTCTTGGCTGTCGAATGATTAAAACCGCAACTCTCTATCTTTATCTGATACTGAGTTATTCAAAAAATAACCACTGCTCTTGTACTTTGGCTCCGATACTATTTGGACATATCCGACGAAATCGGCTTGAAAACAAACACTCCTACAACACCATCAGTATGACGATAGAGTTGAGGTTTTTTCCAAACTATACAGTATTTAGCCTAGTGCAATACATCATTCGATGCGTCTTGAAATGCTTCACAATTTGTATTAATAGGAAACTTAACGTAAGCAAAGCAAGGTTCAAAATCCTTTTCGAAAGTAAGATTTTGAGAGAATCTTTGGAAAACCAGTCTAATTCTCCAAAACTTAAAGTGGCAATATACTGATCTTTTTACATCAGTAGATAGCCATAGTGCTCTCTTCAAAAAAAAAAAAAATTAGCTTGACTCTTCGCAAGAATCAAGCGAGATCGCGATTTTTAGTAATTCGGGCATAATACCGAATTTCCTTGCAGTCTTAGGATTTGTATCAGATGACATCGAAGAGCCTTGGAATTGCATAGAACATACGGAATCGACAAAATTAAATCTGTTAGCAGTGGTTGTTTCCACCGAATACTAAAAGTATTCGCTATTCACTGAAAGAACGTCAGAACGAGTTAAAAGATTCAGGATGTACTTAATCAGATAGACTGTTCTATATGATGTTTATAAGAAAGTTACAAAAAAGAATTGTAAAACTCTGTCGTTTTCAAAAAGGATTTCTATATAGTTTGGAAGAAACCTCAACTCTATCGTCATACTGATGGTGAAACACTCCCACAACACGTAGGAGTGTTTGTTTTCAAGCAGATTTTTTCGGGTATGTACAACTAGAAGCGCTTAGAAAGGTCGAAATCATCGAATAAAATGGCCTTGATGTATTTTGAGCACACTGGAGCAATAAAAGGTGGTGAGCCGATTTCAAGTCTTATGGAGGGTCGGTCCCTGCTACTTTTTTCAGCCAGCACCACATCAACTACGAGTACAATAACGACGACAACGCTGTATGAGATACAAGTGTTAAGTCCAAGCGACATCGAATCTGATTGTAAACAACCTGTTATTGCTGGACTCACAATTACCACTATTGGTTATGGTATTTTACAAACGCTTGCATTTTACATTATATTCGCAAAGATGGTTAACAAATTTTTGGTACCCAAACAACCTGAAAAACCAAGTACAAGTACGAAAAACACACAACAAGCACAACAAAACCCAGTAGATGGTCGTATTCCGACTGAATCAGATCCGTTGTTTGAACCACCGGCTATGTCAACATTTTTCCAAGGGTCACCATATTTTAATCCAAACGCCCTTCCTCCACCAATTCAAGGACCAGAAAATTTTATGCATGGCATTTACCCAAACGAGTTCATATCTAATGGTCAGCCTTCGATGCAAGATCCTTCGTTCCCACCACTATCGCCACCATCATTTGCAGACGATGTCTCATACGAACTTAAAACTGGTACCGAAGCGTGAAATAATTATGATTTATCAAATATTTGTTTATGGTGAACCATCCTACATCCTCTAAACGGACATTTTTGAATGCGTTCGGACGCATCGAATTTTAGAACGTGCCTAAATCAATCCAGATGTTCCATTTTGAACGTGTTTTTGTGTAATCTAAATTTTTACATATAATAGATTTTCTTTTTAAATAATAGTAGAGTGATAAAGAACAGAGCCATATGTATCAATCATAAACATTTTTAATAAGAACTTTATACTGAAAGTGTACACAGTACTTGTATAACGAAATACAAAAATAAATCTATAAATTAAATTACATAAACAGCATCAAAATCATAAAAAACCGAATAATAAAGAACAATAAAGGTATCCTAACTATTAACTCCACACATCTTGTGAATAACGTCCTTTCACGACCAAATCTTTGACAAATGCAGCTGCTTCCTCTGCTGTAAGATTACCAAATTGTTGCGCAATATCTACGATAATTGTATGAACGTCGCGTGACATATGTTTAGCATCGCCACAAACGTATAGATGTGCATTATCATTTTTTATTAATTTCCATATTTTTTCACCATCTGCGCGTAATAAATGTGTTACATATACTTTATGGTCTTGCTCACGTGAAAATGCAACATGCAATTCTAATGTTTTTTCATTTTCAAAATATTTCAGTTCCTCTTCATAGAGAAAATCTTCATTACGTTTTCGACAACCATAATACAATATTGTTTCGCCGACGGGTTTACCTGTAAACGTTAAAAATAGTTTATTAAAAATGAAACGACTATCGTTTCTGTTACCTTGCGTTTTCTGAAAATGTCTTTCTTGAATAAATCCGCGAAACGGAGCTAAACCAGTTCCCGGACCTAAAATTCACGTTCTAATGAAAACTAAACTTGTAAAGCTTTTAACAGTACACTCACAAGAACTTTTGGAGATAAGAGCAAACATACTTAACAAGCATATTTCTGACTTACCAATCATGATGATAGGTGTTTGAAATTTATATGGTAATCGAAATGTTGATTTTCTTATATATACTGGTAAAAAATAACTTGGCGATGTTGCATCATTGTTATTATTATCACTAGAAATTGATTTTGGATCATGTTCTTTCAAATACATATGTCTAAATTGATTTGTTGCTACACCTTTTACTATTCGTTGTGTGGGTGTTAAATATTGTACAACAACAGCAGTGATATGAACACTTGTTTCATGAATCTATTTTTAAAAAGAAAACGATTATCTTCTAATAATGATAATAATAATAAATGACTATAAGCTTTGTTTACTTTTGGAGATGAGGATATTGAATAATATCGAGCTTGTAATCTCGGTAATAGTTCACATAAATAGTCTAGTGGTGGTTTTAATGATGGTAAATCTTCTAAAATAGCAACAATTGATCTACAACTATCCAGTGCCCATTCTTTGTATTTAATCTAATAAAATATTAATATTTGACTATGATACATTGAGAACAAGTAACGGACATACTTTTCCTTCCTCTGAATATGAGCCCATTAATGTTAATAAAGCACGTTCACTATCATCAGTGGCATATTGAGCAATATCTTTTAATACTTGTGTATTTGGTATACTTGTAATGTCAAGATAATAAGTTAATGCTGTACGATAACTACATGGACAGGGAAATGGATTTTTTTTCTGTGCGTCCTCTAAACAACAAGATAACAGATTATACATTGATTAAATGACATATTCTATGTTAATTACCATCAACATTAACAAGTGATATGACTTCATCTAAATCAACTTCTAATAACTCTCCAATACGATTGACTAAAGTCGAATCATTTGATGGAAAAATGGCCACATGATCACCAGCCTCATAACTATACAATTATTCAAAATAATAATATCGAAAGATAAAACAAATGATCTATTTTTAATTATACCGGAGTCTGGACTTAGCCAAATCTAATTCAAGATGAAGACATGAACGTAAACAATCAGGTTTAAATAATTCTCTGTTTTCTAAAACGGGTGCCAAAAATGGATTACGTAGATCGAATGGTCTAGAAAAAATAATAATAATGTACATTATTTGTCTCATTTTATATTAATAAACTTACGGTTTTTGTTTCTCATATGATTTCAATCGACCAACTTCGCCGGTAAATATTGTTCCTGATGAAGAATTGCCTGTAACTAATTTGTATTGCCTCATTCTTTAAAAGTAGAAATAAAATGACAGGCATTCATTGTCTCAAATAATGTTAAGAAAAACAACTTACGTGCTTTCATCTGTATTACGAACCAACTGATATGCTTGACAAACACTGTTCCAAAAGATTGTTGACCAAGCAATAAAATCATCTTCAATATTTCCATCATCATCACCCATTCCTAATTCAGCTACACAAACACCGCCTATTTCAATTAATCGTTTATCAACATACTTTCCAACAGCATTGTAATGTTCATAAGTTTTGTTTCCGAGAGCAAATACCTAAATTAACTTAAAAATAACATAAAATTAGCCAATACTTTAGTTACTTACAGCATAATGTAGACCGGTCAAGTCATTTGCATCTTTTAACCATTCATAGAATTCTTGAAAATTATCCGTTGGATCACCTTCGCCATATGTCGCTACAGCAAATACAGCTAAATGATTTTCGATTGCAATCAGACGCTGGAGTTCTTCCTTTTAAAAAAATAAATAAAAGTAAGTTTGGGGTTTAGATCCACTACAACTTATAGTATATATTATAAAAAGTGTAATTTTAAAAAAGAATGTTTAGCATGGTGGTATTTAATTCATGAAACTTTTGATTAGAAAATGATGAATGGACATCAAAATATGTGATACATTAATTTTAAAAACACAAAATTATCTAACTTAGACAGTTTAAAATAACTGCAACTATCTGTACTTACCATTTCGGTCTCTTCTGGATCAGCAACCATAGCAGCAATACCATATCGTTTTGCCTGTTTTGAAAGTCTTTGAGCAAAATCTTCAGCTGTGCCTAAATGTAAATAAAATGAAAAATGCAATATTTAGACTTCGATGATGATTTGACACACACTAAAAATCTTTCATGCAATCAATACAACTATATGACGACTTCTCGCTAATTTATTTTCTTATTCCTCGTTAGAGAGACAGATTTACCTGTTTGTGATCCGTAAAAGATAACCATTGTTTTATTTCCATGTAGCATACGATCAACAATACTTCGATTTGTTGTGGCAACCGGTTTCGTTCTAAACGATAAATAATACAAAAAAAATAATTAATGTGCTAGTTCGAAATATTAATTACTGTTACCTACGTTTGTATTGTTTTAATTATGGGTAATTCATTAGGTGTCTGTTTTCTCCACCAGAACCAGTACGTGAGAATGATTGTAGCTATACCGCAAATGATAAATTGTATCGAAGTTGTAGTACTGAACCAATCGGTTATAAAAATAGCCATTGTTGTTCAAATAAATAATTAAATAATGCTAAATGACGGCTGGCAGAGTTCTTAGACTTATAGATTTCTACAATATTAACCAGAAGTTAGCATAGCTACAGCACAATTTTTCGTATTGAAATATGAAAAGAGAAATTTCAGTAGAATGAGAAAAAATCCAGAATTTAGCAATCTTTTTGAGCGTAAATTCTTACAAGATGTTTCTTAGTGGCTCACTCTCAC